ATGACCCTCAATAAAACATTTCATCTCTTTATCCCCAGTTATTATCATTTACATACTACAGGATTGGTTTAGATAGTTTTCAGTGCTCTTCCCGTAACTTTTTATATGCTTTGGTTGCAGGATTTCTTCTGAAAATTCTAATAAATAATGATGGAAGATAATTGACTATACACAATCATTTTCCTTCCTTCTCTCATTCCTTCTTTCCTTCCTTCCTTCCTTCCTTCTTCCTTTTTTTCTTGCTGTGCGGGGGATGGAACCCAGGACTTCACACATGCTAGGTAAGCACCCAACCTCTGAGCCCTATCTCCAGTCCTTTGGGTTAGGTGACTCTTATGATCTTAGCCAACCTAAGACTCCAGGTCTGATATTCAGAAAAGAAAACTCTGGGATAGGAGAGCTATCAATAGCTTCTAGGACAAAACAGTCAACACATCTCAGACTATTTCATTTTATTATTGAGGCAAGGTCTTACATATCACAGACTGGACTTGAACTTGCTATGTAGCTGAGGATGTCCTTGAACTCCTGATCCTCCTTTCACTACCTCCTGAGTGCTTGTATTCCAGATGTGCATTATTATACCTGGCTAAGAAGTATATCCTCAAATATAAAAGCTGAGGACATTAGGGACATAGCTCAGTAAGCACAGTGATGGCCTAGCATGTATGAATCACTGGGCTTGATCTCCATCACCAAATAAACTGGGCATCATGGCATACATGTATAACTCCAGCACTCAGGAAGCAGAGGCAGGAGGATTAGGAGTTCAAGGCCATGCTTTGCTGTACATCGAGTTTGAGGCCAGCCTGGACTATATGAGACCCTATCTGAAAATAAAACAAAACCCTCAAAAGGACATATTTCTTTTACCCCAATTCCCTACCTCCTTTAACACATTGTAGTGTTTTCCTGAAAAGTTGCCCCAGTTATGTGAACCTCTAAAGGGCCTGCTGTCTGCTCTGAGTGGAGAAGACAGCCATCATCTTTCCTGGTAGCACCACCTTCACCTTTGCCATCAACAAACCTATGGGTCCCCAGGCCCCTGTTGGATCTAGAAGTCAGTTCCGGACCACCTCTCGCCTGCTTGTCTGCAGCCATGTCCCTCATTGGTGTTCTCTTCCCATCTCTGAACTAGAAACATTATTTGTCAGAGAGGGTTTTCAACTTTTCTCTTTCCAGCATGGACCTCTCCTTTCAGTCCCAGGCATGTTAATCTGTCTTCCTGAAACCCCCATGGTAACCTCAGCATTTCACATGGCCTATCCCTTGCAGTTAACTCCCCTCCCCCCCACCCTGTCTTGGTCCTCCTCATCCTTCCCTTATCTAAGACCTCAGACTTAATTATTTCGTGTGTGTGTGTGTGTGCAATCAGGTGTGCAGGCACATGTGTGCCATGGGTGTGGTGGCCAGAGCAATCTGGTGTCTTCCTTGATTGCTCTGCACCTTCCTTTTTCTTCTTTTCCCCTTGACATTCGTTTTAGAGACCAAGTCTCTCGCTGAGCCCAGTGCACCACTGACTCACTGCACTGCTTGACCAGAGAGCTTCAGGTATCCTCTTGTGTCCAGGCCCTGCCCCATTGGAGAGTTACAGATACACACCACCATGTCCCACTTTTACATGGGTTCCGGGGACACACACTCAGGTCCTTGTGCTTGTGTGTCAGGTAGTGTACCGACTGAGCCATCTCCCCAACTCCTCAAACTTCAGAAACACCCTGAACTCCTTCCTCTCACACAGCTCCTCTGTAGGAGATTTCTATCATCTACCACTTCTTACCTCCTCCACTGCCTCTCTGATTCACCATCTCTCAGTGGCCTCATGAGCTCATGTCCCCTTTAGTCTAATCTCAAGTCAGGGTTAAGAAAACACAGTAATTTCTTTGGAAACTCTCTAGTGGCTTTTCTAGTGGTGAAGTTCAGCTCAGCCCTTTCAGGCCTTACACCCACATCCTCTCCTCTCCCAGACCCCATTCCCACCAGCCCTGTTGCAACCATACTGGTGCAGGGCTGCCAAACACCCACCCACTCCAGAGCCTTTGCACTTGATCCTTTCCATAGAAACCATTCTTTTCCCTGTCCCCACTGGCTCCTCCCTCACATCCTCCAGCTTTTTACTCAACTATCACTTTCCCAGTGAAGTTTTCCCTGGCTCTTCATTTTACCATCATCCTGACATTCTCTATCTCCTTTTGTCGTTTCATGTCCCCAACAGCATTTATGCCTCATGGAGCCATCATGTAACCAGCTGATTTATCATTTATTCTTTTTTAGTGTCTGTTACACTGTAAGTTCAAGGAGGGCAGGGGTTTGTTTGGATGAGGCTCTGCCCCCAAAGAGGACAGTTGCTCTGGTGACTAGGAACTCAGTAATTGTTCAGCCAATAGTGCATGACTTACAGGTTGCACCTGGGGTCACGATGCCGGTTGTGGAGGCTTCTGAACTCATGAGCATCTTCTTTGTGTCTGCAGTTGTTTCCCCTGCAAAACGCACATGTTGGAAACTAAGGTTCTCAGTAGTTCTCCAATTCTAGAAATCTTTAAAAAAAATTCTTTTGATTGGGGTTGGAGAGATGGCTTAGAGGTTAAGAAGACTTACTGCTCTTGCAGAGAACCCGGCTTTGATTCCCAGCGCCCACATGGTGGCTACGAACCATCCTTAACTCCAGTTCCAGGGGAATCTGAAACCCTCTTCTGACCTCCACGGCATTGTACAACACGGGTGCACTCACATACATACAGGCAATACACTCATACACATAAAATAAAAATAATATGAGTGTATTGTCTGTATGTGAGTGCACCCGTGTCATGCAGTGCTCACAAAGGTCAGAGAGGGCATCAGATTCCCCTGGAACTGGAGTTACAAATGGTTGTTAGCCACCATATGGGTGATGGAAATCGAACCCTGATCCTCTGCAAGAGCAGACAGTGCTCTTAACTGCTGTACCAATTCTCTAGCCCCCAAGCCCCCAGTCCTAGAAATCTTCAGGAGACAGCAGTCAAGGTTTCAGAGCCAGGTGAGAGGGTGCCCAGAGGTGATGGGGGAGCAGAGCAAGTTTTCAACTTTCCCAAAT